TCATCCCTTGAATGAATAAAGAAGGAAAAAAAATTCTTCTGTCAGTGTCACACAGCACGTTCACCTGGCTATTATTGCATTGCAGGAACTGCTGTGTTCAAAATGGGTGTTTTGTTACATGTACAGATCTGGACTAGGAATAGGCCTTTCAAGCCTGCTCTACCATTAGTGTGACTGAGGTAGTTAGTTCACATTCCCAATAATCCCTGATAACCTTTAACCCTCTTGCCCATCAAGAATCTATCTACATCTGCCTTAAGAATATTAAAGTCTCTGCTTTCACTGCCTTTTGAGGGAGAGAGTTCCAATGAGAAAAACCTCTCTATCTCTGTCTAAAATAGATGATCGCTGATTTTAAAACAGTGACCCTAAATTGTAGATTCTTTCACAAAGGAGACATTCTTTCCACATCATCTCCTCAAGATCTTGTATATTTCAGTCTTATTCTTCTAAACGCTGGCAGACACAAGCCTTGCCTATTCATTATTTCCTTGATCTAGTCCCCTCTGAACTGTTTTCAATGTACTTACTTCATTGCTTAAATCTGGACACCAATGCTTTACACAATAGTTCTCGGTGGATAACTAAAGATGGGCTGGAAAGCCCTTCTTTGTCTGTAAATGCTGTATGATGCAAGACAGATGATGTTTGCAATATTTGTAGATTAGTCAGCACCTGTGGAAAGAACAGAAAAGCATTAAATGTTCTGTTCTCTTCACAAATGTTGACTAATCATGCGTTCACAGTAACTGCAGTCTCTTTTTGTTTTGTGCATCATTACGGCTGTATTTACAGCAGAGTTGTCTAGCACATCAGGAGTGATGTGGACAAGCTGGTGTTGGACTCGGGTGGACAGGGCCAAAAATCACACGACACCAGGTTATACTTAACAGGCCAACCCTTGACTGGTATGTGAAGAGTTTAGAAAGTTAGAGTCAAAGAGGTATACAGCACAGAAATGGACACTGTGGTCCAACTCATCCATGCCGACCAAATATCCCAAATTAGTCTAGTCCCATTTACCAGCATTTGGCCCATATCCTCCTAAATCTCTCCTATACATATACCCATCCAGATGCCATTTAAATGTTGCAATTGTGCCAGTGTCCACTACTTCCTCTCGCAGCTCATTCCATACACGCACCACCCTCTGCATGACAAAGTTTCCCCTTAGGTCCTTTTTAAATCTTACCCCTCTCACCTTAAACCTATGCCCTCCAGTTCTTGGACTCCTGCCACCTTGGGGAAAAGATCATGTATATTTATGCTATCCATGCCCCTCACCATTTTATAAACCTCTATAAGGTAACTCCTCAACCTCCAACAGTCCAGGGAAAATAGCCTCAGCCTATTCAGCCTCTCCCTATAGCTCAAACCCTCCAAACCTGGCTACATCCTTGTAAATCTTTTCTGAACCCCTTCAAGTTTCACAACATCCTTCCTCTAGAAGGGAGACCAGACTTGCACACAGTATTCCAAAAGTGGCCTAAGCAATGTCCTGTACAACTCCTATACTCGATGCACTGACTAATAAAGGCAAGCATACCAAACGCCGCCTTCGCTATCCTGTCTACCTGTAACTCTACTTTCAAAGGACTATGACCCTGCACTCCAAGGTCTTTTTGTTCAGCAATACTCCCCAGGACCTTACCATTGAGTGTATAACTCCTGCCCTGATTTGCCTTTCCAAAATGCAGCACCTCACATTTATCTAACTTAAACTCCATCTGCCACTCTTCAGCCCATTGGCCCATCTGATCAAGATCCCATTGTACCCTGGGTTCTGATCGGACTGGACAGAGTAAGTGCAGGAAGGATCTTCCCAATGACTGGGGAATCCAGAATCAGTGGTCACAGTCTAAGGATATGAGGTAGACCATTTAAGACTGAGATGAGGAGAAATTTCTTCACCCAGAGAGTGGTGAGCCTTTGGAATTCTCTGCCACAGGAAGTAGTTGAGGTCAAAACGTTCCATGTTTTCAAGAAGGTGATACACATATAGTTCTTACAGCTATAAGGATCAAAGGATATAGAGTGAAAGCGGGCATAGTCTATTAAGTTGGATGGTCAGTCATGATCGTATTGATCATAATTTCTTCTCAGAGGGCTAAGTTTCTTTGGAACTCCTTGCCACAGAGAGCTATGGGGGCAGAGCCCTGGTGTATATTTAAGGCTGAGAGAGAGGGAGAGATTCTTGATCAGTTGGGGAATCAATTAATCAAATATGAGGAATGCTGTGATCCTGTTGAATGGCAGAGTGGGCTCGAAGGGCCGAATGACCTACTCCTGTTCTTGTATTTAGTTTGTTTGTTTCTATGTACAGCAGAGTAGAGGGATCGAGAGTGCAGGATTTTCTTACTATCTTTTTCTTTCATTACCACCTCACTGCCTCATCTTGAAAATGTTATGACTGAAAGTGTGGTACTGCTTTAAGGACAAGTTATTATTATTCGATATGATTGACAGGGAGTTCCTCCAGGTCATTAATGTCAATGCTGCCAGGCTTCAGAGAGCGCTTTAGAGGGTCTTTGTATCATTTTCTCCCTGTGGGAGTTGGGTAAACAGGACCTGGTGTAAGGAAGGCATTAGGCACTCTGGCCTTCATTGCTCAAACCATTGAGTCCAGGAGTTGGGATGTCATGTTGAGGTTGTGCAGGATATTGGTGAGGCCACTTTTGGAGTACTGTGGACAGTTCTGGTTGTCCTGCTAAAGGAAAGATAGTATTAAACTGGAGGGGGTTCAGAAAAGATTTACCAGGATGTTGCTGGGATTGGAGGGTTTGAGATATAAAAATAGATTTGATAGGCTGAGAATTTTTTTCACTGGAGCGTAGGAGGCTGAGGGGTGACTTTATAGAGGTTTATAAAGTCATGAGAAGCATAGAAAAAGTGAATAGAAAAAGTCTTTTCCCTAAGGTGGTGAGGTTCAAAACTAGAGGGCATATTTTTAATGTGAGAAGAGAATGTTTTCACGCAGAGGGTGGTTCATATGTGGAATGAGCTAACAGTAGAAGTGGGAGATGCAGGTATAGTTTCAAAGACATTTGGACAGTTACGTGGATGGGAAAAGTTTAGAGGGACATGGGCCAAATGCAGGCAAATGGGACTAGTTTAATTTGGGAAGCCTGGTCAGCATGGACAATATGGACCGAAGCGTCTGTTTCCATGTTGTATGATTCAGTGACCCCGAGATGCGTTCAGGTGTCTGGATACATGTCCAGTTTATCATTGTTGGTTTTGCCTGGATGTGTGTTGAGTTGGCTTCAAGAAGGACACTAGCATTTCCTTTATGGCCCTCCCATTAATTCGAGATGTGGCAGAGACATTTACGGTTGAATTTCTTTCGTGACGAGTCACCAATACACAGTCCAGGTCTCACTGCAGTACAGGAGTTTGGTGATGACAACTCCTCTGTAGTCTAGGATTTTTGTTGATTTACAGTGTTTTTAGATGTTGATTACCTGCCATTATGCCTGTGGTTTGTTTTTGAAGAAATTCCGACAGTCCTGACCAGAATATTTTTAAAACCCATTGCAATGTGGAACAGTCACTCTGAACGGTTGGGGCAGGGATTATTGGTTGGTGTCAAACAGAAGACATTGTAAATGGTGTTGAAATGGAGCACAGAGGAAAGAGAGGGTAATCAGAAAAACTGAATAGGTTTTTAGATCTTTTAAACCAGATAAGAGAGGCCTTTGTGCCAACTGAAGACAATTAAAGTAAGCTCAGATTCTGATGCAGGACTTTCATCCAGTCAATTCTTGAAAAAAATTCACTCAGAATGACCATTGTCAGCATGAATCACTGAAATATAGGGTCCTTCTGCAGGTAAAAAGGGAGGCCCATTTTCACATCTATAGTAAGCTGGCCATTTCTCTCTCTGTCCCCTGCCCCATGAAATTGGTTCTAGCATCTGTGCAAACCTGACACTATGCTGAGAGTGCAAACCTCCTCTTGGTCCTGGGTTGTAAGAAATTTGACCAATTTGAGCTGGTTCCCTGTGGGTTAAGTACCCCCAGCTTGGTGTTTACTGGCAGTTTCTGAGTTGGGGTATTGGGCTTTGCTGGTCCAGGAAAGGGTATGAATAAAGGAACAGTGGAGAGGGTGCTTAATTTGTACTGCAGCGTCCCGTACCTCACCTGGCAATGTTAACCCATTGCCCTGAAATGCAAAGATGTTCCATTTTCCAGCATACACTTTCCTTCACATTAGTGAGACGAGAAGTCTTTCGGGGAAATGATGGCCTAGTGGTATTATCGTTGGACTATTAATCTAGAGACCCAGGCAATGTTCTCGGGAGCTGAGTTTGAATCCTGTCATGGTGGAATTTGAATTCAATTAAAAACAAATCTGGAATTAAGAATCTAATGATGACCATGAAACTTTGAAGTCAATTGTCGGGAAAAATCCATCTGGTCACTAATGCCCTTTAGAGAAGGAAACTGCCATCTTACCTGCTCTGACCTACATGTGACTCCAGACCCACAGCAATGTGGTTGACTCTGAGCTACCCTCTGGGCAATTAGAGATGGGCAATAAGTGCTGGCCTGGTTAACAATACTCACATCCTGCAAATGAACGCAAAAAAGAATTGATTGACACTAGCTATTAAAAAGGATACATAAAGGAATCGGAAACCAGTTAGCATCAAGGCAGAAACTTGCTACAAAGCATTTGCATTTACTCTTTTTTTTCCGTAAGCTGTATCTATCTAGATGGAGTCTCTTATGACTAAGTAATGTAAAGGCAGAGACATTGATCCATAACATTGTTATTTATTTTCTCAAATTCTCATCCTTTGCTGCAAGGGGTCAGCCCAGTCGACAGTGCAGCAATGCAGGGCACTGATCACCGAAGTTTTCATTGACTTACAGTAAGTTGTCCTTGACTATTATGAATGACTTTCATGGTGCATACTGTAATTCACTGTCAGTTTATCTGATGAGTCCATACTTTAAAAAGTAGGGCTGCCAAATAATATTGATTTCTGCTGCCTGCAGGATTGGATTGGCTCAGTAATCAAAGCTTCCGCACTGAAGATGCCCTGCAACTGCACCATCGTATCGTAGGGACTGCAGCAGACACAGCCTTGGGGTCATCCCAGGCAAGGTACAGAGCCCCACCTGTTCACCCTCCATATTGCTGTCTTCCTCTCTCCCTTTTTATACACTAATTTGAACTTTACCCTTCCTGCTTCAATGTCTATCTGCCCCAATCTGTCCATCTCTTTATCTTTATTAGTTTTGTTCTATAACTCCATCTTTAAATCTCTAACTCTAATCCTCTGTATGCTGCAAAACCTTGATTTATTGATTAGTTGTTTACTCTCAGTGTTGAGTGACATGGCCTTCAGGATGTAATTTTTAAAGTTCTTTGAGCTGTGATATAGTTAATATAGTGTGAGTATGTTGTACAAGAGCAGCCCTGTCCTGAAATGATTTTTACCTGCAGGACAGAGTTCAAATCTAAGCTTTTCTTGATGGCATCTGAAAGGCTCCAGTAAAAGTGCCTGAGCATTCCCTTGTATTAAAAAGGAAGGTAGATCAGTCCTCATGATGATCTAGTCTCTAAAGATACTGCTGATTTCAGCGCTGGGCTACAGGAACTAAAGGATGTCAGGTTTAATCTCTGCTCATGTTCTATAATTGGCCTCAGCACCCCCAAATTAGGCTGGAAGAAGCCTGTTCCTGATCACAGGTGACTCTTGACCAGGCAAAGGCATACCTTCTGAGATTTCTGCACTTCTCCAGTGCTAGCCCGTCTGTGCGTTTGTTAGAAATTAGGGCCATGGCAGGGACTTTGTCTTAACTCCTGCCCTCCTGTTCTCCCTTTTCTTTGAAGAATTCTTCATTCAAATTTGTCTCCATCCTATGAGCAAGGAAAAGGTTTCGGTTTTCTTCCCAGTCTGCTGAATGTGAGGAGTTTCTGCCTTGTTACTGTTAGCATATTGAATACTGCTGAGTTCCTTCGCCTAGCTCCTCTCTCCACGCAGCGTCTAGTTAAGTGCAATCTGTTCTTCAAATCAATCTCATTTTGGCATGTGTGCAAACAGAGTTTAATCCCTTAAATGCCCACATTCCCGCGGGGATTCCTGATTCCAGCGATCCTCCATCTGATCCTGTCAAAGAAGGAATTGGGACTGATGTTTCATTTAGCAGGATTACCTGCTCTTGGCTCTGTGACGAGGAGAGACAGAAAGGTTTCTTGCTTGAGTAGGAAGCAGGATCAAGTGCACCACAACACTCCCTGATGCACCCTTCACGCCTGCTTAACTTTTTTTGAAGTTACTGCCAGATAAGTAACAGCAGCGAAGCAAAATTGCTGTATACGTTTTGACCTTTTTTTAGTCAGTTCTCTGATGTTTACTTACCTTCTGTTCACTTACCTTCTGTTCCATGTGTAGATCAAAGGCTTTTTTCCAAGAAGTACCCCGATCAGGAGTTAATCCCTCTACCCATCCCATATCTCTATATGTAGAGTCCTTAAGAATTTGTCCATGGGATACGGTTATCACTGGCATACTGCTATTTATTGGTCATCCTTATTCGCCCTTGAGATGATAGCGGGGAGCTGCTTTCTTGAACCGCTGCAATGCGGATGGTATAGGTCCAGCTACAGTACTGTTTCTTTTCTCTTTCGTATTTGAGGAATAGTCTGGGATTTTCACTGTTATGGATGACCCGGAACTGTTGCTGCAGTCCCAAGCAGGCACACCTCTCTCCTATCACTTCGAGGTTTCAGAATGAGATATTTGGCAATGGGTGTTCCTGAAGTAGATGTGGGAGAGAATCGGTATCTGACATGGATCCGGATTTGGTGGAATTAATGGGTGCTGCAGCTACTTAGGATTCTTTTAACACCGCAACACTATGTCGGAGAACCTCATGAATCATAGAATCCCTACAGTGTGGAAGCAGGCCATTCAGCCCATCGAGAACACGCTGGCCCTCCAAAGAGCATCCCACCTAGATCCATCCCTACCCTATCCCGGTAACACTGCGTTTCCCATGGCGAACCCACCTAACCTACACATCCTTGGACACTATGGGCAATGCAGCATGGCTAATCCACCCTAACATGCACATCTTTGGACTATGGGAGGAATCCAAGGCACCTGGAGGAAACCTACGCAGACACGGGGAGAATATGCAAACTCCAGACAGTCGCCCGAGGGTGGAATTGAACTTGGATTTCTGATGCTATGAGACAGCAGTACTAACCACTGAGCCACCATGCCATCCATCTAAATATACCACATGGTCTATTTAGGTTTGCTGTTGTAGAAAGAGACTATCATCTAGCTGCTTTAATTAGTCCAGTATCCTGGCTTTAACTGCATTTCCTAACAGCTCTTCCCAGCTGTTGTTGTTTTGTGAAGAATTTGTGCTTTTGCTGGCTCGTAGTGTGAACGGTTCTGAGGGCGATTAAAGCAGTTGGTTATAACATGAGTGCTCCTTCTAGGACCACCATCTTTGTGCCAGCCGATAGGGTGACTGTTTCTATGCTACAAGAGGGTTGTATGGGCTCTCCGGCTTCTATGACTATGTCACTCACGTGCACAGGCTGGAAGTGACAATTCCAGCGTGTGTCAGCCCAGAGTTTTGAGCTAGATCTGTCTGAACAGGATTTGAACTGTGGCTCGAAGGTGGGAATGCTGACACGAAGCTAAAGGTTTGTTCCATCCCAGCTGTTGGTAAATGAGGTGTCAAACTACTTCGTCCTTGCTGCCTAGGTGAATCTGCAAGTTTTGTTTCATTTTCATACTCCATCTCCCTCCTAATTACATCATGCATATACCCTGTAAGGTTGCTCCTGATATCTCTGCGTGAATGGACTTGTTCTCCTCCATTCATTACTGTAGTCTGGGATGTTTCTGCAAGAGTATTGCAGAAAAGTGTGGCTTTAGAAGACTTCAGGGAGCCCAGAATGTAGTATCAAAGCCTGTTCTTGTTGAAGTGTTGAGTGGTTATCACTCAGGATAGCCTGAATCTCTGGGTTAGGGAAACATTGATTCAGTCACAGTGCAGTTTTGAGTTTGATATGAAATCATTTTAATCTGCAAGTCATCTCAGCTGTTGTGGCAGAATATCTTGAAGTGCCATCGTTGAACAAGACAGTTGCCTTTAAGGTTCTTGTGAAGATTTGTAGCTCGGTTTGTGGATGAGGTTGTTGGCTTGCTCGTCATTTTGGCTGGTTACGTACAGACGTTTCGTCATCATTCTGGGTAACGTCATCAGTGCGGCCTCTGATGAAGCGATGTAGTTCTACTCTGCTTAGTATTTAAATGATCCAGTGTGTTAAATTGGGTTGTCATTTCCAGTTCTGTTCTGTATGGGTTTGTATATGGGGTCCAATTCCACATGTTTGTTGACAGCATTGAGTTGAAAACAAGGCCTCTAGGAATTCCTGTGCACGCCTATGGTTGGCTTGAGGTAGGATAGTCAGTGGGGGAGCACTTTGGGGCCTATGACCATAATTCTATTCGTTTTAAAATAGTGATGGAAAAGGATAGATCGGACCGAAAGGTTAAAGTCCTAAATTGGAAAAACACCAATTTTGATGGTATTAGGCAAGAACATTCAAAAGTTGATTGGGGGCGGATGTTTGCAGGTAAATGCGACAACTGGTAAATGGGAAGTCTTCAAAAATGAGAAAACGTGAGTCCAGAGACAGTATGTTCCTGTTAGTGTGAAGGACAAGGCTGATAGGCATAGGGAATGTTGGATGACTAGAGAAATTGGGGTTTTGGTCAAGAATAAGAAGGGAACATATGTCAGGTATAGACAGCCGAGATCGAGTGAATCCCTACAAGACTATAAAGGCAGTAGGAGTATACTTAAGAGGGAAATCAGGATAGCAGAAAAGGGGCATGAGATAGCTTTGGCATATAGGGTAAAGGAGAATCCAAAGGGATTCTAGAAAGACATTAAGGACAAAAGGGTAACTCGGGAGAGAATAGGGCCCCTTAAATATCAGCAGGGCTGCCTACGTGTGGAACTGCAGGAGATGGGGGAGATACTAAACTGGTATTTTGTATCGGTTTTCTGTGGGAAAGGATATGGAAGATAGAGAACGTGGTGAAATAAATAGCGACATCTTGAAAAATGTCCATATTACAGAGGAGGGGGGGCTGGACAACTTAAAACGTGAAAAGGTGGATAAATCCCTGGGACCTGATCAGGACTACCCTGTGGGAAGCTAGGGGAATGTTTGCTGGGCCCCTTGCTGAGCTACTTGTATCATCGATAGCCACAGGTGAGGTGTCAGAAGACTGGAGGTTGGCTAACATGGTGCCATTATTTAAGAAAGGCTGTAAGGAAAAGCCAGGGAACGATAGACCAGTGAGCCTAACATCGGTGGTGGTCAAGTTGTTGGAGAGAATCCTGAGGGACAGGATTTACATGTATTTGGAAAGGCGAGGAATGATTAGGGATAGTTTAACATGGCTTTGTGTGAGGGAAATCATGTCTTGCTAACTTTTTGCACTTTTGAAGAAGTAACGAAGAGGATTGATGAAGGCGGAGCCGTGGACATGATCTGTATGGACTTCAGTAAGGTATTCGACCAGGTTCCTCGTGGTAGACTGGTTACCAAGGTTAGATCACACATAGATAGAGAACTAGCCATTTGGATACAGAACCACCTCAAAGGAAGAAGACAGAGGGTGGTGATGGAGGGTTGCTTTTCAGACTGGAGGCTTGTAACCAGCAGTGTGCCACAAGGATCGGAGCTGGGACCACCGCTTTTTTATTATAAACAGTTTGGATGTGAGCATAGGAAGTATGGTTAGTATGGTTTGCAGATAACAGCAAAATTGGAGGTGGAGTGGACAGTGAAGAAGGTTACTTCAGAGTACAACGGGATCTTGATCAGATGGGCCAATGGCTGAGGAGTGGCAGATGGAGTTTAATCTAGTCCATGAGGTGCTGCATTTTGAAAAGGCAAATCAGGGCAGGACTTACACACTTAATGGTAAGGTTCTGGGGAGTGTTGCTGAGCAAAGAAACCTTGGAGTGCAGGTTCATAGTTCTTTGGAAGTAGAGTCTCAGGGAGACAGGGTATTGAAGAAGGTGTTTGGTATGCTTGCCTTTATTGGTCACTGCATTGTGTATAGGAGTTGGGAGGTCATATTGCAGCTGTACAGAACGTTGGTTAGGCCACTTTGGAATGTGTGCAAGTCTGGTCTACTTGCTATAGGAAGGATGTTGTGAAACTTGAAAGGGTTCAAAAAAGATTTACAAGGATATAGCCAGGTTTGGAGGGTTTGAGCTATACGGAGAGACTGAATAGGCTGGGGCTATTTTCCCTGGAGTGTCGGAGGCTGAAGGGTGACCTTTGTAGAGGTTTATAAGGTCATGAGGGGCATGGATAGGGTAAATAGACAAGGTATTTTCCCTGGGTTGAGGGAGTCCAGAACTAGAGGGTATAGGTTTAAGGTGAGAGGGGAAAGATTTAAAAGGGTCCAAAGGGGCAACTTTTTGATGCAGAGGGTGGTGTGTGTATGGAATGAGCTGCCAAAGGAAGTGGGGGAGGCGAGTACAATTACAGCATTTAAAAGGCATCTGGATGGGTAAATGAACAGGAAGGGTTTAGAGGGAAATGGACCAAATGCTGGCAAATGGGACTAGATTTATTTAGGACATCTGGTTGGCATGATGAGTTGGACTGAAGGATCTGTTTCTGTGCTGTACCGCTCAATGACTCTGTGACATGGCGACACAATGCCAGCCCCTCCTCTGACCCACAGTCAATAACTAAATGTAGCAATTCATCTCTCTCGGTCAGACATGAGGTTTTTTCTGGAAATCTCCCTGGTGGTGGAGACATAAGGATACCTATGTCAGGCTCCTACTTATTGACTACAGCTCCGCCTTCAATACTGTAATCCCAACCAGACTAATCTCCAAACTCTGAGACCCAAGTCTCGGTTCCGACCTCTGCAACTGGATCCTTCGCTTCCTGGCCCTCCGACCGCAATCAGTGAAGATAGACAACAGCACCACCTCCACAATAATCCACAGTGCTAGCGCCCCGCCAGGATGCGTACTCAGCCCCCTGCTGTACTCCCTGTGCACCCATGACTGTGTGGCTAAATTTTATACGAACACCGTCTACAAGTTCGCTGATGACTCCACCGTTGTAGGCCGGTTATCAAACAATGACGAGACACAACACAAGGAGGAGATAGAGGGCTTGGTGTCATGGTGCAAAGATAACAATCTCTCCCTCAATGATGGCAAAACTAAAGAGATGATCATTGACTTCAGGAAGAAAGGAGGAGGACACGCCCCTATCTACATCAGTGGGGCTGAGGTAGACAGGGTCGAGATCATCAAGTTTCTAGGAGTGACGATAACCAACAGTCTGTCCTGGACCCCTCTTGTAGATGTGGTAGTCAAGAAGGCACAACGATGCCTCTTCTTCCTCAGGAGGCTAAGGAAATTTGGCATAGCCATAAGGACCCTCACCAACTTTTATCAATACACCATAGAAAGCATTCATGGCTTCGCACGGCAACTGCTCTGCCCAGAACCATAACAAACTACAGAGAGTTGTGAACATAGCCCAGACCATCACGCAAGCTAACCTTCCATCCACTGGCTCCAACTACACTTGTCATTGCTGTGGAAGGGCTGCCAACATCATCAAAGACCCTTCCCGCCTCGGTTATAATCTCTTCCATCAGGCAGAAGATACAAAGCTTAAACACATGTACCATCATGTTCAAGAACAGCTCCTTTCCCACTGTTAATAGACTGCTGAATGGACCTCTCAAATTTCAAATCTAATGTTGATCTTGCTTTGTACACCTCCTATGCAGCTGCACTTTTGTATGTCTCACTCTGTTCAATCACCCTATCATCTGTATGCCATTGTGTTATGATCTGCCTGTACTGAACACGTGTGACAACAACAAAACAAATCAAATCAAATCAAATCAAATTATTTAGCAGCAGCATCCAGGGATCCTGATATAGACACCTCCAAACCTGCGCATGTCCGGAAAGGTGCCCTTTGGTCTGGGCTATCAGGTCTCCAATCGGGTTGGAAAGTCCTTGGAGAGAATTACTGAGCAGACTGAACAGTAACCACTTTGTTCAAGGAACCACTTTGCTCCAAGTGAAGGTCAGAAGCAACTTACTTTGTAAAGCACCTTGTAATGCTTCATGTGGATTTCGTGCTTTTTGTTTCCATATCGGTTTGTTGTTACCTAACAGCTACATAAACAGAGAGCGTAGCTGCCTTACCCACTGTCACCTTCAGCAGTGTGTGTGTGGGCTGCATCTCGGGATCCTCTCTGAAAATCATGTTGACGGATGGAACTTAATTCATCTTCTGTGATTGTCAAAAGTTGTTGTCGCTGTGATGATTTGGTATTGTGGGTTCTGTTATTTCCACACATCTGCTCTCACAAGGCTGCCTGTGCATTCAGCAGCATTGCCTGAGTTAGAAATATGAATAATGACCTTTTCATTTTTATAGATTTTCTTATGGATATGCCTGTTTTGAGACACATGTTCTTAGATTTTAAGTACATTTTCTAATCTATTTCACTGGCGAAGGACAAGACACCAAACAAAAAGGATTTTTTTTTCCACAAAGACCTTTACGGCTTAGTAAGTAAAGAAAGAGCGTATGTTTCTGTACTACTTTATCGAACCTTAGAACATGCCAAAACACATGATAGCCAATGGCATGCTTTTTTCTTACAGATTAGCAAGCTGGAGATAAGGGTGGAGCTGTACCCTGTCCTGTGCCACGGTGTAGCTCCCTCTGCTTACTGAGTTCCTCATCTGGGCAGGACGGAATGGAAGTATTAGAAAAGAGAGGGGAAGAGAAGATTAGCTCGAGGGGGATACGAGGTAGGGAGGACGGAAGTGGGGTTGGAGAAGTCCGGAGTGAATGAAGGTCTTAAGATATGTGCAACTGGTGATTGGATGACATTTTTATGTGTGATTTTAACGTTCCATGGCCTTGTCCTGCTATTTCAGTGATTATTCAGGAATATCCAGGGGACTTTTGGATCAAGGCGAACAAGATGAGCCGGCCAAAAAGAAGAAGAAGAAGAAGAATAAAAAGAAGAAACATCGGCAGCACAAAAAGGATAAGAGGAAGGACAGAGCGATTCGCACCAGCAGCGAATCCGATCCTGAGCTCCTCCGGGATAAAGACACCGTGACTCCTGTCGAGAGGTAATTAGCATCGCTTTCCTTTCACTGAGTCTGTACCCAGCGACCGAGAGAGCTTGAGCCAAGGGGATTGGTGTGTCAGGATTTCTGATTATCTTTGCTGATGAACATTGGTAATAGCATGAGGCTATTTAGCCCTTTGAGCCACTTTGGCCATTCACTTGAATCCTGGCGAGTCTATACCTCCATTCTCTCGGTGCCTATCGCTTGCCTAATTAAAAAAAAGTCTATCAATCTTAGACTTGGGGCACAGTCTTTTGTGGGTGAGGAAAAAAAGTTACAGATTTTCAATTTGAGAATATGCTTTCTGCTTTTACTCTTGACTGACCCAGCTCCAAGTTTGAGATTGTGTTTTCTTGACCTGACTTTTCCCACCTTGGAAAATAGCTAATCTGTGAGTACTCTGTTTGAATTATTTGAACATTTGAGAATCATAGAAACTTACAGTACAGAAGAGGCTTTTTCGTCCATTGAGCATGCGTTGACAAAGCTGCTGTAAATCTGCAGTAGCCTCTCTTGCTAGTACTAGGTCCGTAGCCTTGAATGTTATGACACTTTAAAGCGCTCATCCAAGTTCTTTGTAAACATTGTGAGGTTTCCCACCTCACCTACCCTCCCAGACAGTGCATTCCAGATCCCCACCACCCTCTGTGTGAAAGTGTTTCCTCAAATTGTGAATAGTGTAAAAGGAAACAGTGGGATATTAATCAGTTGCAGATACGGGCGGAGAAATGGCAGATGGAGTTTAATTCGGCAAAGTGTGAGGTTTGGGAGATCAAATGTTAAGGAAAAGTACACAGTTAATGGCAGAACCCTGAACAGCATTGATGTACAGAGGAATCTTGGGGTTCAAGTCCATAGCTCCCTGAAAGTAGCCACGCAAGTAGATCGGCTGGTAAAGAAGGTGTATGGCAAGCTTACCTTTATCGGTCAGGGAATTGAGTAGAAGAGTCAGCATGTCATGTTGCAGCTTTATAAGACTTTGGTTTGGCCACACTTAGGATATTGTATTCAATTCTGGTTGCCACATTACAGGAAGGATGTGGAGGCTTTGGAGAGGGTGCAGAAGAGGTTTAACAGGATGCTGCCTGGATTAGAGGGTATGAGCTATAAGGAGAGGCTAGAAGAACTTGGGTTGTTTTCTCTGGAGCGGCGCAGGCTGAGGGGAGACTTGATAGAAGTCTATAAAATTATGAGATGCACAGATAGGGTTGGTGGTTGGAATCTTTTTTTCCCCAAGAGTTGAAATACCTCAAAATAGAGGGCATGCATTTATTCAAAGGAGATCTAAGGAGCAAGTTTTTTTTTTTGACAGAGTGGTAGGAGTCTGAAAAGCACTGCTAGGGGTAGTGGTGGGTCAGGTACGATAGGGGCTGTTGAGGGACTTATAGATAAGCACATGAATATACAAGGAATAGGGGGATATGGACCAAGGGCAGGCAGAAGGGATTAGTTTAATTTGGCATCATGTTTGGCACAACCTTGTGGGCTGAAGGGCCTGTTCCTGTTCTGTACGGTTCTTCCTCAGACAGCTCAGGAAATTTGGCATGTCCATAAGGTCCCTGACCAACTTCTACAGACTGACAATTGAAAACATACTGTCCGGGTGCATAACGGCCTGGTATGGCAACTGCTCTGCCCACGACTGTAAGAAACTACAGAGGGTGGTGTGCACAGCCCAGACCATCACGGAAGCCAACCTTCCATCCATGGACTCCATTTACATGTCTCACTGCTGCAGAAAGGCTGCCAACATCATTAAACGCTCATCGCACCCGACTAATGACCTCCTACAACCTCTCCCATCAGGCAGAAGATACAGAAGCCTGAACACACGCATAAGCAGGTTCAGGAATAACTGCTTTCTGGCCATTATCAGACTGTTGAATGCCTCAAATAATGTAACCTGCAATGTAACCTGTATGCCTCTAAGTCTTTTTGATCTGTACACCCTATGCTTGCTGTGGTCTGCCTGTGCTGCTCATAAACAAAGCTTCTCACTGTATTTTGGAACGCCTTGACAATAAATCAATCAATCAATCAAATATGTTCTCTGTTAAAACTCCTGCCTTTCTCTTTAAATTATGCCTGTTTGTCATTAACCCTTTGACTAAAGGGAGCAGCCTTTCTATCTACCCTGACCATGCCCTTCCCATAACCTTTTACACCTCAATCAGGTCCCTAATCTTCTCTACTCCAGAAAAAACCTAAACTTATTCAGCCTCTCTTCACAGCCGCAATGCAACATCCTGGTGAATCTCCTCTGCAAACCCTTCCTTCAGTACAATCACATCCTTCCAAAAATGCAGTGATCTGAACTGCATGCAGTACTCCAGCTGTGGCTTAGCCAAAGTTTTGTACAGCTCCAACATAACCTCCCTGCTCTTCTAGCCTAAGCAATGACTGATAAAGACAAGTGTCCCATATGCCATCTAACTAACCTATTAAACTGGAGACCCACCTTTTAGAAACTGTGGACAAATACCCCAAGATCCCTCTGTTCCTCCGAGCTTCCTCGTGTCCTGCCATTCGTTGAGTGCTCCCATGTCTTGTTCCTTCTTTTAAACTGCATCACCTCACACTTTTCAGGATTAAATTCCATCAGCTATGATCTGCCCATCTGACCAAACTGTCCACACCCTTCTGTAACTTAAGACATTCAACACCCGGCCAAGCTTTGTGTCATCCCCAAACTTATTTATCATCTGTTCCACATTCTCAGCTACATTGTTCATATACATCGCAAACTATATATCACAAACAATAAGGGACCCAGCACTGATCCCTGTGACACACCACTGGACCCTGGCTTCCAGTTACATCCTACTACCTGCACCCGCACCCCCACCCCAACCCTCTGTCTCTAAGAAGCAATTTTGGCTCAACTTGCCAAGTTACCCTGGATGCCATGTGCTTTTAACTTTTTTTTAATCAGTCTCCCATGTGGGAACTTGTCCAAGGCTTTGCTCAAATCCATATAACCTATATCAATGGCACTGCCCTCATTTACACATTTGGTCACCTCCTGGAAAAATTCCATCAAATGTGTTAGGCATGACCTCTCTCTGACAAAGCCATATTGACTATCCCTGATCAAGCCGTGCCTCTTCAAATTCTGTCCTCCAGAATTTTTTCCAATAGTTTCCCTGCTCTGTAATTCCCTGGATTATCTCTACCACCTTTCTTGAAAAGTGGAGCTCCATTAGCTGCCTTCCAGTCATCTGGCACTTCCTCTGTAATTTCCTCCCTCCTGTCCCACAGCAGCCTGGGAAATAACTAATCCAGGCATGGAGATTTGTCCACTTTTAAGCCCGTCAAAACCTCCAACACGCCCTCACTCCCAATGTCAAAACTGCTCAAGAATCTCTCAGTCCCCCTTCCTGAATTCTGTACCAATATCCTCTTGCTCCAAAGTGAAGACAGATGTGACGTACTCACTTAATGCCCGACCAATGTCCTCCGGCTCTACATCCAGACTGCCCCTTGGTCCCTAATAGGCCCTAGTCTTTCCCTGATTATCCTCTTTCCTTTAAAATATTTACAGAATATCATAGTATTTCCCCCATTCTTACCCGCCAGTGGTTTTTCATCCTCCCTCTTTTTGCTCTCCTAATTGCTTTCTTAAGCTCCCCCGCACTTTGTAGGGTTAATGGCAGGATTCTCGTCAGTGTGGAGGAATAGAGGGATCTTGGGGTCCACGTCCATAGATCCCTCAAAGTTGCCGCCCAAGTTGATAGGGTTGTTCAGAAGGCGTATGGTGTGTTGGCTTTCATTGTCAGGGGAATTGAGTTTGAGAGCCGTGAGGTTATGTTGCAGCTCTATAAAACGCGGGTTAGACCACACTTGGAATATTGTGTTCAGTTCTGGTCGCCTCATTACAGGAAGGACGTGGAAGCTTTAGAGAGGGTGCAGAGGAGATTTACCAGGATGCTGCCTGGACTGGAGGGCAGGCCTTATGAGGAAAGGTTGAGGGAGCTAGGGCTTTTTTTATTGGAGCGAAGAAGGATGAGAGGTGACTTGACAGAGGTGTACAAGATGATGAGAGGCATAGATAGAGTAGATACCCAGAGACATTTTCCCAGGGTGGAAATGACTATTACGAGGGGGCATAAGTTTCAGCTGATTGGAGGAAGGTATAGGGGAGATGTTAGAGGTAGGTCCTTCACACAGAGAGTGGTGGGCGTGTGGAATGCGCTGCCGGCAGTGGTAGTGGGGTCAGATACATCAGGGACATTCAAGCGACTCTTGAAAAGGCACATGGATGATAGTAGAATGTAGGGTATGCAGAGTATTTTGATCTTAGTAGGATAATAGGTCAGCACAACATCGTGTGCTGTACTGTTCTATGTTCTATGTATACTCCACTAGGGCCTCTGTTGATTTGTTCTTTCTGCACCCTCTTTTCTCAACCATCTGAAGTCAAGAGAGAAGCCTTGTATTTGTGCAATCTGTCCTCAATTTAACACTCTAAACACTGGCATTATTCGCACTGGAGAATATGCTGTGCACTCCTTCAATACCACATATCCTTGTTGATGTTCATTGCTCAGAGCTGAAGGCTCTTTAAGTAGGGTAAGCTATTGAAAGAATTCAACAAGGTAGATTTTATTTTGATGAGGAGAATCAACAGTGAAGGAGACATTTTAAAATTCAAGCTGGACTGTTGAGAAGCAAAAGCAGGTGCGCCTGGTTGCACAGTGTGAAAGTTGTGAGGGGCTCTGGATAATCTCAGCCTTCAGGATTAGGAGAGAAAATTTTGTTGGTTGATTGGGCCATGCGATGTGGAGCAAAGGCAAGTAAGTGATGAGGTATCTAACAGCCATGAACTGTTGGAATAGCAGAACAGGATCAGGAGGCTGAATAGCCTGTGTCTCTTTATTTTTTTCCCTTTTTTCAGATTGAAAGAAATGTGTCAGCGTGCTGCTGGCTTTCTTCTCTGCGGATGTGCATTTTGTGCAAAGTATTGCCCTCCTGAAAGACATCTGATAGCGGTCTATGCAGTTGGTGAAGGAAACTGGGTTCTAATCACTTCTTGATTGTCTTGCAGGAGGTAGTTCACAGGAGAACTGGTTTTCTGTAGCTCTGGATATAGATGTCAGCCCTCTGTATCGAGTGCAGTGCAGAAGAGTGTAATAGGCTGCGAACAGGAATAAATGTTCTAAATGTTCTAAATGTTCCCCTGTCCCTGGCCTACATGTTAAATGGTGAAAGCAGCCAAGCAATCCCAGGCCACTACTGGTGTTGCTGTTTTCGGGTTGCCTGGAATTTTTCAGGGAATGAATGGTGACAATGTCATCAAGAACAATTGAAATTGGGTGTCAGCACCTAAGAGCAGTTCTAGGAATATCCATCAGATGTTTAACAAATTTAAAATCACCTAGTTAAATTGGTTAAACTAAATTTCCAATTGAAGTAAAACAGACACAGGCAGATTCTGGGATAACAAGGTGTAGAGCTGGATGAACACAGCAGGCCAGGCAGCATCAGAGGAGCAGGAAAGCTGACATTTCAGGTCTGGACCCTTCTTCAGAAATTCCCCTTCAGATTTCTGAAGAAG